TGAATGAATGAATGAATGAATGAATGAATGAATGAATGAATGAATGAATGAATGGATTTCCCCATATAGTTTCCAGGGTAAAACACAAGCTCCCTCAGGAGGTAGGCATGACATTTTCTGCTTTTAAAAAAGGAGGAAAGATCTTCCTCTTTAGCCAGGCGTTTTCACCTTCAATTAATAATAGTGATTTTAACCACTAAAAATCTGATAAAGTTTGTTTTATTCTTTATTATTGGCTGCCTTGAGTGCTGACTGGATATAAGATAGCAATCTTACAAATAAAATAACAACAATATAAAAAATGCTGAGATATCTACCAAAAGATCCAGTGGTAACTTGTATGATGATGACAAGACTATCTACCCAATATATTAAATTTTTGCACATATATTTTCCAAGAAAACTCCTACATTCTTAAGGATCCTTATTTTTCAAAACTAAAAATTAAAATGAGGTGAACTATCCTGCACTTAAATTTTAAAAAGGTAAAAGCTAAATATTCTAAAACTCAGCAAAGATACCGGAAAGATTTTTTAAAAACTTAGTATAAGAGGAATACCTTTAACTTGAATTCCCAATTTTTTGAGTGCCTCCTCCACTGATTGACTTTCTCTCTTGCGCATGAATCCATTATCTATGTGCACTGCTAACACTTGGTCTTGATTTAAAGCACGATTCAGTAAAGCTGTGCACACCGTAGAATCCACACCTCCACTGAGTAAAACCTGAATGGGTTAAGTGGAAACAGAAATAATTAAATCAGCCTTCCCCATCTAGTAGCTTTCAGAAGTGTTAAACTACAGCTCCCAGAATTCCCAGCCATTGACTATGCATTCTGGAAGCTGAAGTCTAATACATCCAAGGAAACAATAAGTGAAAAGGCTACAATAAATACATTTAATAAACAGAACAATATGATCAAGCATAACATTACATTTGCTTTTCTAGTTTCCACTGTTTTTATTACAGGGTTGGACATGTGTAGCTCCTAGTCCCATTTCTGCGGTTTAACCCCAGACTGGGCTCCTCTATTTCAGTGGTAAACACAGAATGTTGGTTGCATGCTTTTTTGTTTAACAGGGCTTGCTTATTTGTTTTTATGTTTAAAATCTCCATGCATGAAAAAAGGGCTGACATGTTGGTATCTCCCCAACTTCCAATTCGGCACAGTCTCATTGCCACATTCTTTGGGTTTTGGCTGAAAAAACTGCTCTTTCCCATTTCACTCCAATATCAAGCCTCAATACACTGAAGTCATTGTTCAGCTAAACAAAACAAAAGGTGTTTTTTTTTTTAAAGCATATGAAGTATGAACACTGAAACTGATAAACCAAATCATCATCAGATACTATCCTTAACAGGAATACTATAGATTAAACTTCAAACCTTACCAGGACTTTTGATGATCCTACTTTCTCCTTAATATCTTGAATGCATTCCATTTCTCTGTTCTGAACTGTGAAGGTACCACTGCACCCAGCAATGTCGAAAAGGAAGTTTTTCAGCATCACTTTCCCATTCACCGTAAGACTAACTTCAGGATGGAACTGTGCTCCATACAGTTTTTTAGATTCATTTGCTATAGCTTGGGAGTTATTAAAAACAAAAAATGTAATAATTTCATCTCTAAGAAAAGGAAAGCATATTTTTTAAAAAAATATGTAAGATAAAAATATGTCTACAGGACAAACATGTCAAAATATTATTAAAATAAGAATCTACTGTATTTTCCTTTCCCAAGCTGATACCCTCCTGATGTAGTGGGACTTCCATTTTCCAGAATTCCCAGCTGGCTTGTCAGTTTTAGGAAAACTGTACTATGGTTTTAAATAATACACAGTTTATAAGATGACAAATGAGTGAGTCAAATAAAATGAGTCTGATCAATGCTTTGCTATATGAACAGAACCAGAACACATCTTTATTCGGTTAATGACCAGCAAATTGCTATATGAAAATGACCCACTGATATTAAATTTATTTCCTGAGCATCTTATATCAAGTCTTCTCAGGTCACAGATATTAGCTGTACAAGCCACTACTTGTACATTCTGTGTTTAGAGGTTCAAAACAAGGAGTTGTGCTAAAACCGACTTAAATGTATTTCTGTTGAAGCAATGAAACAAGCAAGGAAACCATTTAGCAACTTACACATGCTAAATAATATTATTCCTACTAAGAAAATATCTAAGAGTAACAGATTGCTACCATAAGCAAAGTAAGGCTTTTGGATTCAGTTCACTTTGTTAAAATATCTATATAGATGCTCCGTATATTGATGACACTGGCTAGCTCATATAAGTGTTGCCCCACTGTGTCATATGCCAGAGGAAGTGGTTTAAAACTTTCTAATTAGGAACTATGGCTTATTACTATACTTAATAGGTAAATTGTTCAGATTAAAGCAGGCCACCATTTACATCGTACAAAACTGTCACTAAGAAATTTCTTCCAGTTGGTGTTGATATGGGGGGTGGGGGGTGGGAATCCAGTCTGCAGTCCCTACTTTGTGGAGTGCTGCAGGATTGGTCCTTTCTCCCCTCATGTTTAACATCTACATGAGGCTGCAGGGTGAGGTTATCCAATGGTTTGGGGTGAGGTATCACCAATATACTGATGATACTCAGGTTTACAGTATATCTCCACCACAGGCTGCCTGAGCGATGCCGTGGACGTCCTATCCCAGTATCTGGAGGCTATGGAGGGTGGGATGCGGCGCAAAAGCCTTTGGCTCAACCCAAGCAAGACTGCGTAGCTTTGGGCATTTGGACCTTCTGGTGCTGGGAACCTTCCATCATTGGTCTTAGATGGGGTGCATAATCTGGGGGTCCTCCTGGACTCACAGCTCCTGCTCAAAGGGCAGGTGGCAGCTGTGGCTAGGAGGGCCTTTGCACACCTTTGGGTTGTGCACCAGCTGTGCCCGTTCTGGGACCGGGAGGCCCTGCTCACTGTCACTCATGCCCTTGTAACCTCTCATCTGGATTACTGCAACACGCTTTATTTGACGCTTGAAGAGCATTCGGAAGCTTCAACTGGTGCAGAATGTGGCAGCATGGGTAGTAAATGGCACCAGTTACTTGTCACATGTAACACTGCTACTCTGTGAGCTGCATTGGTTGCCAGTGTGCTTCTAGGTACAATTCAAGGTGCTAGTGGCCACCTTTAAAGCCCTTCATGGCTTAGGGTTGGATTACTTGAGGGACTGCCTGTCCCCAGTTGTTTCTACCTGTCTGATCTGGTCAGGCAGGATGGTAATGCTTCAGGCCCTGTCGCCTAAGGACTGCCGGTTGGCAGGGTCTAGAAGACATGCCTTTTCTGCCGTAGCATCCTCCTTTGTGATGGAAGGCATGAGCGGGGAGGATTCTGGAAGGAAGTTTCAAGGTTACAGGGAGGGGGAGTGACATTCCAAGCATCTCCTCAGCCTCCGGCTGGACTGTGTGAAAGGAAGGAGGAAGAAACTGGCCCCTCCCTAAGGGCTTGATGGTTATAGCTGCTCTCACTGGGGAATTAGTCTGGAGAGATTCTGTCTATTAGGTGCAAGCTAATAAAGAAGCTGAGCTGATTTCCGGACTCTCTCCTGTGATTCTTGGGCTGAACCTGACACCCTTATGGAACATTCTCCCTCCGGAGATCAGGATGGCCCCGACCCTGGCTGGCCTTTTGTAAGGCCTAAAAGACCTGGTTCTGTGCTCAGCCCTGGGGCCCCAACTGTACGCAGGGACCTGTTCCTTGCTTGTGTTAGTGCTTGTGTTGTTGTTTCTCGGCTGCATGTATTTTAACTTTTATGTTTGTTATTGTTTTTATTCTATTTTAATTTGGTTTGCTGCCCAGAGTCACTTGTTGAGATGGGCAGCTATATAAATTGGATAAATAAACAAACAAACATCTTGCCTTTTGCCATTGTAATCAAGCAATAGGACACCCCCCACCTTTTTTTGTCTAAAAATGTTAGCATTTTATCTGCCAAGTCTTGGAATTATTTTCTTGGAAACGAACTACAAATTAAATCTACATACACTACAAATTAAAGTTATGCCTTTAGGTTTTTTTAGTTTTAAAATCACAGTTCCCTGCACTGTATGCAACTCATTGAAAATATATTTTACAAAACAAATTCCTGTTCAAACCAGCACCAAAACATAATCAAAATTTACAGAAAATTGATAATGTGGAAAATACAGTACCTGCTACAACATTTCCAGACTGAGCAACAACTTTGAATCCATCTGCTACCTTATCTACGCTATCTCCATGGGTAAGGAGCACAACCTCTTCTTTCTGAAGTCCCCTGAACAGATGCAAGATCACAAAATAAAAGGTCTTACATCATTAAAAGCCATCAGTTTAAAATAATAAAGAGGAAACATGAAGTATCTACAATTTTTTCAGAGCATTAATGAATATTTTCCATGGTTTGAAAATGACCGTTAAACACAGCCCTTTGTAATTCATAAGGTATCCAATTTAATTTCAGCTTCATAATTCATTACCAAAAGTTTTTCATACCTGAATAATGAACAAGTGTTATCTAATGTAATGCTGAAGACACCATCTTCTCTGACATCTTTTTTGTGTACTGTACCACCAAATACCTTATTCATCATCTGTCAAAAACAGAAAAGTAAGTTACTAGTCAGTTAGTAAGTTCCTACATTTCAGCTACTGTTGGCTACTCTTTCCGTTTGCTTAGCATTTCCTTTGCACAGAATTAACCAAAAATCAGACGACCTGTTCAGGATATCAGAACTGTTTACTGCTTACCAAAGTGCAAGTAATTTATATATTTAATATTGTAAATAATTACTATGGCGTTGGTAATTTCACCTACCTATCCCTTCCCACTTGCGCTGCTTTATTCTCTACAGCAATAGAGAAGCTGCTTGGCCCTCCTCTGCATTTAAATATTCCCTAATTCTCTAAATGCTGCAGAATACAAGAAAAGTGAGAAACAAAATCCAACTCGGGCAGCACCTACCATTTTATGCTCTGCTGTCACCTTTCTGCAGATATCTAACTTGCAAGTCAATTCTGAACAGTACAAGAGCTATTTAAAATAATAAACATTTGCTCCCATTTCTTCCAGAATTGGACTTCATAAGTCATCTTGATGTTGTCTTTAGTCATTCCCAAGATGTCTCAAAACATCAACTTCTTGACTGAGTTTAGCTAATTCTGTAAGAACCAGGATTATATCCAGTCATTTTTAAGCTTCCAACCTTAAACACTATAGTACATCTCACTCAATTCAGACTGCAGGTGCAAATTCACAATTGTTCCTCTTCAGTAAGAATTTTTTTGCCTATAGAAAACATAGTTGTTACAGCAGATATTTATAGCTTTCTACATAAAGCAGATTTTTAAAAATATGAAATAGCAATCATGTAATTCACCTGAGAATAGGTTTACTATTTCCTCGCTTCTTTATGAGACCTTAGGATTGCTTATGAATCTATATAGCTGAAAATGGGTTTCAAAATCATAATAAAAGTGATACAGATATATGTCTGCATTGGGCTCATTACATTGTGATGCCAGATTTCAAGACCCAACCTTTTTAGTTATCTCTATTATAAAGCAATATAAGATACTACCATTGCATTTTTTTTATTACAGTGTTCAGAGAGATGTAAAAAACTCTATTATTATTCCTTCCATAATAGAAGATTATCTGTCCTACTTGGGCTACCCATAGGCTAGTATTTTTATCTTGGCTTGCAGACTCCATAAACAGATTTCTTCTTGTGCATTTACACATGACAACGGCAGTCAGCAATTTAAAAGCTTGCTTTATTATTATTTCTCACTACACTGTGTTTGATCTTGCATGAAACCTTGCTATTTGAGGGAGTTCTATTTTGACATGGCATTTATTACGCTCGACTGTTTCTGTATTGTTACAACACATTTTAAGCAGTGGTATTTGATTTTGCTGAGATGAATAGAATCAGCAGGCAGCCTACCAAAAGCTTGCTCAGACTCAGTTCTGGGGCTGGTAGGGCTTGGGGGAGTTTTGCACCACTGCAGAGTAGTTTCCATTTCCCAGAACAAAAGACATTTAGGTATTTATGAAAGCCACCTTCTGTTTTCCTCAAATTCAGTCAAGATTTTTCAGGGCTAATAACTTATAAATTAATGTTTCCATGTCAGATTCTCTTGGCCTTTCTTCTTGCTCTCACTGAAACACAAGATTTCTCTCTTGACTTCTTAACTTTTTCTCACTCTAGCTACCCTGCAGATCAGAATTTTTACTTTCATACTTTTGTTGTTTCTTTTTTATTTATATTTATGGAGAATTTTACATGAAGTAAAATACAAATCTAAAGAAAAAGATAGGAAAGAAAGAAAAAAGAAAAAGGTGCAAGAAAAAAAGAAAACTAAAGTTATGAAAAATAATGACTTCCAACTTTCTCTTCAACAGATATTGACAAACCTATCATCTTCCCTCCCTCTTATCTCTTCCAGAAATCCCTTCAGCCCCATATTAAATTCTCATCTTTTTCAATCATTAAATCCATAAATCGTCATTTCACTTTTTTCTGCTTTTAGCAAAAAGTCCATAAAAGGTTTCCAGCCTTTTAAAAAAGCACTTGTTGTTTTCTCCCTAACCAAACAGGTCAGTTTTGCCATTTCTAATTCTGACAGTTTTATGATCCTCCATTGTGGGAATTTCAATACTCTTCCATCTTTGTCCATATAATAAGCTTGCTGCCACACTTTTGTTGTTTCCAAATTCATTCTTTCACTTCCTCCCGGTTGGGAGGTAGCTTGGGCTGAGAGAGTCGGACTCATAAATTCTATGGCTGAATGGGGACTTGAACCTCAGTCTCCCCAATCTGCACCAGCATCTTAATCACACACCAGCATATTAGCGTCCTTGGCATTGTCATTTCTTCATGGTGCTTTAATTTCCCACTTTTAATTCCATTTCTTTGCTTTTTCAAACCCCAACTTGAATTCTTATATTCTATTCCTCTCCCTTCCAGTCCACAGCTTGTGTTTTTAAACCATCAAAAGCTCGGTTCTTACTTTCTCATAATCTCATTACTGCTTATATCTTCTCTTGAATATAGCCTTCATTGCTTTTATCATAGTCTCTTACACTATGGATTCTTTTTCTCTTGTTTGTCTTGCATTTTACAATTGTTTTTTTATCCAGAGTAGTCTCTCATGATATTTTGAGATAAATATATATTTCTTAAGTTAAGACTGTTGCATAAACCTCATTGCCTTCTTTAATTCATCCTTTAATCCTTTTTAAATGCTTTATTTTCTACTGATTTTTCCTTTCCTTATTTTTCTAGTTCTTGTCCCTGCTTTTGGCTATTAATTCTCATTTTCTCTATCCTATTTTATTTCTTCATCAGACCCTACCTAACACTTAGTCCATTATTTGATTAAGTTTTTATTTCTTCTTCACCACTATAAGGAAACGATGTGATAATCCTGTTATTTCTCTTTTTCATGTCTGGTTTCATTTTCCCCCTTCAATAGGCCTACCTCTCATTTCATTTTATTTAATTTGGGGTAATTCAATTTCTTAAAATATTTTTTTTCTTTGTTCTAGTGCTGCCTCTTCTTACTTTAAATGTCCCATATTTTCTCTAATTATTGGAGAGGTCCTACTTAGAGCTTTACCATCTGATTTCCTCCAATTTCTTTCATATTTAAACAACCTGAATTATTTCTTTCCCAGAACCTCAACCTTTCTTACAACACTCTTTTCGACCTTTATATACTATATGTTATAATTAGATACATAGCAATCTTGATTTTTCAAATGCAGCCCTTCTGCTCCTAAGATAACAATATCATGAACAAGAGGAAGGAAGGTGAGCCCCAATGTTTTTGTAGAAATATAAATATAAGGGGAAAAACCTTAATGATTTAGCCTTTCAGAATTTCAACTCACAGGAATTTCCTTATTCTCCTCAATGTTTCCTCAGCATTATTTTCAAAGTTTGGATGTAGTGACCTTTTCTATTATCAGTCCTATCTCAGAATTATATCATTCAAAATTTTCACTGTCAGATGTTCTCAGTTTCTTCTTCCTGTGGTTGTTACCCAAAGATGGATTCCCTAGCCTTTTTGTTCAGTTAATATACTTCTTCTTGGAGGGTCTGGCTTTTTCCTTTATAGCAGTGATACTGGAGGGTCATACCTAATCTAAAGCTCTTGCACTCTGTTCCATTCATCCATTCAGGTAAATATCTCCAGTTCCAATCCTTACTCGAGTTTGACATGTGTTCTGACTTGTACAAAACCTTCACTTTTTCTCTTTTCAACAGTTTGTGCCTTATATTTAATTCCTTGTGGCCTTACTGTTCTACTTAGGGTCTGTTGGCTCTTTTCTAATGTTTCTAAAATCTATAGTTTCTTATCTTCTTTTCTGAAATCCTTATTCACATTCTCATTCTATGCTTATTACAATATTTTTGCTTACCACTTTGCCTCTTTCCATTTATACTTTTTATCTCTATTTTCAAGATTTCTGCTTTTTAACAGATTTTGATTAGGTTATAGCCTTTTCTGCTTTCCCTTTGCTCATTTCCTCTGTTGTCCCATATTAGATCTAACTGCTTCTGACCTGCATATTCTTTTAGAGTCTTGATCCGTATCTTCATTGTTTTCCCTCTATTCTTCTTCTCTGTCTCACTATTCAGCAAATAGTATTTTTTTAAACTCAGCTTCCATCATTCTCTTGTGCTACTTTCTTCTCTACTCATCTTCTCTTTTTCATAGAACTTTCTTGGCAAATGACCACTTTGTGTTAATCTAATAATTATCAAAAGCATTTCTTCTATCCTTTGTATTTCATGCCTGGTAATGCTTTGGACTGAGCAAATTAATTTCTCATTTATAAACTGGTATTATTATCTCCTTTGTTTTATTTTAGTTGATCCCAACTACTTCAAATGTTAAATTGATCCAGCTAGTACAAATTTTCTTTCCAGATCACCGCTCTTTTTGATCCCATGTAATTTGGATCATTTGATTCATGTATAGGATCTTGGCAGTTTCAAGTCCTTTTATAAATAATACTAGAGAAGAAGGATAACTCTGAAAAAAATTATGTTGTGTGTGTGTGGGGGGGGGTTGCAAGAACATTTGTGTATGCAAACTGTACCACTATCATAATCCCTAGTTAATGTGTTGAAATGCTACAAATAAATATCAAGGCTAAAATGACATACCACTCATTAGAGATGCCAAACCACAGCAATCCCATTTTTAAAAATGATGCATGTTTCATTCTCCATAGCGATGGCCTCAAAAAGCTCATGAATCACTACGCAGCAGGCTTCTGCACATGTAGAACAACAGATTGGCCTATAGAACTTCCACTTCCTTGCACAGACTGCATTTGGGACTGTGCTATTAGCGATAAGCATGGAATGAGCGCACACTTTCTTCTTTTAAGAGCTCATTTTAGTCTACTTCCAAATAACATTCTCATATATTACACATGTATGAATTAGGATAGTTTTTTAGTCTTAACCAAGCAAAAACCAAAAGCAAACCCCAAAGAGTCATAAAATAATATTTGTAGAAATGGTAAGTAGCACCTGCATGCCATAGCAGATTCCAAGGACTGGTTTGCCTATTGTAAAAATTGCAGGGTCAAACCAGGGAGCATCTTCTGCATAAACAGAATTTGGTCCTCCAGAGATGATGATAGCTCTGTAAAGGAAAGAGATCATTTATAAAAGTAAAGATGTTGAAATTAAATGTTTTAAACTTTGATAAAAGCAATAGTACATGTATATAAGATACCTTAAATCTATTGAAAGAGCAAAACTATTATACTGTCCAAACTTTGAAAAAAGATAATCAGAATAACTTCTTAAAAAAAAAAAATCAAAAGAAGTAAACGAGACACATCATACGTAACCTAAAATATAGCATATTTAAATACTGAATTTTTCTTTTAAGCTTGTTTCAGCATCCAGCAAATTCTAAGTTTCTAGAAGTGAGGCATCTTTTTAAGCTGTACAAGAAAAATTCATTCTCACAGATACTTATTAACACTACACAGCAGAACTAATAAAAGTCAGTGTCAGTAATATGAAACACATCTCATCTTCCCTGAAAATACAAAAGCCAAACAATATTTGTACTAAAAACCATTAGCCTCCCCATTAAAAAAATATAATTGAAGGGATCATTACCTTTCACTATTGTTATGGTTCTGCTAAAGTCCATTACCTCCTAGCAGCTCCTCCTAAGAAAACACTGCAAGCCAATTGGCTAATTAAAAGCATTTTTGAGAGTATCAACAGTACAGTAGACCTACATAGTGCAAAGGCATTCTCTGTGGCTGCCTTGGGACTGGTAACCCTCTTTATGGATAATTTCTGAAATCCAATCCTAAATTTTATTCACAGCTTGTTGTT